AACAACACAAAGAGAGAGTGGATGAGAAGGGAGATGAGCGGTGCTTCCATGGGGGAAAGTGCTTGTGACAAAGCTGAAGGTGTCACAGGGGTTTGTGTGCCCTGTCCCCTAACCACAGAGGGGCCCCTGTCCTCACAGTCCCCCCATAACCCACACTACGAGCAGGGAGGTAAAGTCGGGTGCAGGTGGTCAGGTGACACTACCTTCCCAAAAGCGCCTCCGGAGAGGAAAGCGTCTGGCAGGCCACAATCACACTGACACACACACACACCATCATAGTCACAATCACACTGACACACATAGTCACACTCACACACTGACACAACACAATTACACTCACACACACAATCACACACACTGACACAACATGCTCACACTCACACACACAATCACACTGACACAACACACTCACACACACAATCACACCACAAATAGCTGAGCAAAGGTGGAGAGGTCTCTGGATGGAGTTCCAGTGGGGGTTACTGCAACCACACACTGAAGGGGTCCAGGAACAAAGCCAGGGAGCAGTGGAGGGGCCACGGATATATCTGGGCTTGAGGGGGTGGAGCCGAGGGTCAGGATCCAATAGGAACAGGGGAATGTGGTGCATAGGCGGGGTCAGGGACAGGGAGAGCCAATGGGATCACAGGGGCGGAGCATTGCAGCAAACTGGGGCCAATGGGGACACAGGGAAGGGAGAACTTTCTAGGGAAAGGACATATAAGGTAAAAAGGGGAGGGACAGCTCACAGGCCAGCTGGGTACATCGACCTGGGGTACAGTAACATGGTGGTGTGAACTATGGGAAAAGCTTTTTCATTCAATCTTTATGGGGGGGAAAACCTTCCTGTTATGGTTTAAGTTCACACCTTACAGGGAGAGGCAAAGCTGTATTTAGGAAAGTGAAATGTGGTCTTGGCAACCTCATTTTGCCCTCCCAAGTGCTGGGCCCAGCCCACAGCACAGGTCAGGAGGGAATGTGGGTGAGCAGCTGGCTTCTCACAACCAGAGGTGCCTCCCATCCCGAGACCCCCCCAGTCTGACAGGGCATGCACAGAGGGGTTGGCAGCAGCTCCCCAGGGTTGGCACCTCCCTGTTTGGGCACAGATGGTGACAATGTCCCCTCTTTGCCTCTCTCAGCCTGCAACTGCAACCTGCATGCGCGGCGCTGCCGCTTCAACATGGAGCTGTTCAAGCTGTCGGGGCGCAAGAGCGGCGGGGTGTGCCTCAACTGCCGGCACAACACAGCGGGCAGGCACTGCCACTACTGCAAGGAGGGCTTCTACCGCGACCTCAGCAAGCCCATCTCCCACCGCAAGGCTTGCAAAGGTACGGGCTCAGGGTGGGGTGGTGGGAACACTCAGCTCCTCCTTCCCCAGCCCTTCCCTGCAGCTCTGCTGCCACAGCTCTTCCTCCCTCTCCCAAACCGGTTTGCAGTTGCTTTTTTTGCCATTTGGAATGACTCCTCGTGCCCCCACATTCCTTGCCATCACCTCTGCAGCCTCCTGGTGAGGACAAGGCCACCCACATCCCCTGCCAGCCCCTCTCCCTGCTCTTCTCCGCCTCCCGCTGAGGACGAGGCCATGGAAATAGTCTTTACAGCTGAGGAGTACTTCAAGTTATTTCAGGGTTTATCACTTACAAATGGTGCTTCATCTGCTCCTACCTGGTCATCACTCTGCAAGGGCAGAGGGGCATAAAATCCCAGGTATGGGTGAGATGTAGAATTTGAATCAGCCTCCTCCAAGCCCTGTCTCCAGCTCCCACGTTTTAGGCAGGGCCCACGTACAGAACTTGTCACTCCTCCAGATAAGGAAAGAACAGAAAATGGGGAAACGAGTTTATTTTGAGCTTGGTGTATTTCGAGGTTTCCTCGTGTGGCCGTGGAGGCGAGCTGGGATTCAGCTGGGGCAGGAGCAGCAAGAAGAGCAAATCCTGGAAATGAACCCTTGTAACTCCCAGCTGCTGCTGGAAGAGATGGAAATCCTGAACCTGAGGTGCAGTGAAAGGAATTGAGCAAATGTTCAAAAGCCAGATTAGAAAATGGTGGGGTTTCCCACAGAAATGCTCAGCTCTTTTCTCTCTAAAGATTTGTTTCAACAAGAAATCGAAAGCTTTTTGGCATCAGATCAGGATTTTTGGCTGGGAAGTTTTGGGTCTCCAGCATTTTTATTTTTTTGGGTTTTTTTTTTTTCCTTACTGAAAACAGACATTTTTTGCCATAGCAGAAAAGAAATCCCTTTTTCAGACAGTCCTACTCCCCCTTTTTGAACCTTGTGAAAATTATTTCAATGAGATATTTTTGATATTTCCCAGGTGCTCATTTCTGCTTTTCCCAGCTCTCCTCCCTGGCTGGGCAGCTGTTCCCCTCTCCTGTCTGTCCACTCTTCTGTCCCCTGGCCCTTCGCTGTCACTGACAGCACCGAGCCCTGCCCAAAAAACCTGGCTGGGTGGCCCCTGCAGGTGGGAAACCTCTGAGCCATTCTGTGCCTCAGTTTCCCCAAGCGAGCACCGAGAAGACCTCATTGGCCTCCTGGAGGTTTTCAGGCTGAATTCCCCACCATTCTCTCTATGAAATCCTCCTTGCAGTTGCTCCGTTCTCCTCCTTCTCCTTCTCCAACCTCTCCCGTATTTGAAGCTGGAGATGGCCAAATTTCAGCGCTCCTCCGCAAACCTCCGCAGTTTGTGACAAAGCCATTGCCCAGCAGACCCACCAGACACAAAGGTTTGTGAAATGTTCAGCACCTGGCTCGCAACCTATTAGTGCCATTTCCCAGTCCTCGAGGGGTTTCTGTGGGGGCAAATCCACCGTCCCTACAACAGCAGCGAAATGAATCCCCCACAGCACCGGCATCCCTTTGAAAACTCCTTTTCCCAAGATCTGTTTATCATGCAGTGGGGTTGATGTTCCCTGGTTTTCTCTCCTGACTCAGGGCTTCTGCTGAAATAATTGTTGAAAATGGGCAGGTTTAAACCCAGCCCTCCCATTTAACAGCTCCAGCCACCTCTCCATTGATAACAACATTCATTTACCATCTCACCAAACCAACACTCCCAGAGCCTCCTCTTGACTGATTGTCGTTAAAATTAAGGAATTAAATCCTAAGCTCCTGCCACCTCCCTCATCACTGCCTGCACCCAGAAGAACCATATTTTCTGTATATTTTCTCTATAAAACCTGATTCTTTAATCCATCTCATCACTCTGATCATGTCCCACACATAGCAAATTTAAATAAAAGCATCTCAGAGAACCCTGGTACCTTGGGAGCTGCTGAGGAGCTCGTGGCTCTCACCCACCCCAGCAAGATCTTGGGTGATCTCACAGAAAAGGCTCCATGAAAGAGCTGCCAGTGACATTTTTTCATTAATTCAACTCCATTTATTCAGCCTAGCAGACACATCCAGCTAAGCTGCCTGTCCTGTGCCTTGCATTCCTCATCTCCCACTCCATCCCATGCATGAGGTGCCTCAACTCACAACACATCAAACATCAACCAAGAGGCTGGAATTGCATTGTTTGAAATGGTTGGTTTGGGTAATTATGCAAAAATATGACACATTATGCAGAAATGTTTGCACAATGTCTCCTTCTTTTTAACTTGGAGAAAAAGAGAATTCCACCAACTTTTGCACATGTTGCAGGGCATGAATGAGGCTCAGGCAGCAGAAGGTGAGCAGAAAGCAGAGCTGGGAAACACCCTCTGCCCAGCTCAGGGTTACTGGTGTTTCCAGCAGCCAAACCTTTAATAATTGATAAAGAAAAGACTTCTAATGATCTGAAGTTCAGATCAGCAGTGCAGGTGAAGGCATGAGGAGCTGGGCTTTAAGGATGCCTTTCCCTGATGGCTAGCAGTGATCCAGTCATGCCAGGTGCTTTGCTCTGTGTTTGCTTCCAGAGGGTTTCCTTGCAAAAATGATAAAAGCCTGGAAGTTGCCAGTGGCCAGAGATGCCCTGGGACAGAGCAACACCAGGCAGGCCGTGGCACGGAGGCTGCAAACCACAGGCAAAGGAATTGATGACAGATGGAGCAGGGATATTGCGTGGAGTGGCAATGCTGGGTGTGTGCCAGAGCCTGCCAGGCTGGAGCTGGGCACGGAGGATGTGGCTGCTCCGGGTGGGTGGTCAGGCGAGCCCTGGGACACAAAGCCAGGGCTCCCCTGGAATTCTGAGGTCAGACTGCAGCTGATCCCTGCCCCAGCCACGGATCCTGGGCTGGAAGAGCCTGATGGTCCTGCTGCTCCTGCTCCAGGGGGATGAGTGGGCTCATCCCAGCGGGCAGGGGAGCAGGATGCCCTTTGTCCTGGCAGACACATCGCAGCCCTGCTCCTGGGCACACCCCTGCTCTGGGGGCTGTGCTGACAAGCAACAAAACTCGGGGTATAAGAAATGCTCACGTTCGTTTTTTTCAGACTCAGACAAGGATAAATTGTCCCTCTTTTCTCCCTGGTTTTTGAGAAATCACCAAGAGCTCCCAGCATGCTGAAGCCCTCCTTCCAGTTCCTTCTGCTTTCCCTCTGCTCCAAATGATGTTGCAAGTGAAATTCCACATCTGGGTCCTGCAAACCCTTGTCCACCCTGCTCTGTCATGGGCTGCTGTAAATCTGGGCCCTGCTGCTGGTTCTTTTGATTAAATTCCCTCCTGATATTTGCCAGATTGTTGGCACTAATTTAATTCCATTGGAGTAGAGAATCTGCAGGGTTTTATAGCCTGGCTGTAAAACAGCTCTGCACTTCGGGGAGAGGCTTTGCACACTTTTTGATGAAAAGATGACAAACGAGATGTGCTCTGAATGCACTTGTGCTGAGGCTGACAGCACAAACCCCTCGTGCCGGGGCAGGATTTGGCACCTGGAGAGGTCACATTCATCAGAGCTCAATGTTTTGGGAGGAAATGGGATTGTCAGTGTGCCTGGTGCTGCTGCAGCCTGGGGAGTTTTCCAGCTGTGCTGGAGGATTTCATGCCTTGTGCAAACCCCAAAAAGCACTCCCAGCCTCCCTGCCCATCCTGGCCTGCACCCACCAAGGGTCAAGACTTGACATTTGCATTTTGGAGGCAGTTTGGGCTGGAGCAGAAGGAGGTGAGACCCCATGGGCTCAGCCTCCCGTGCTTGATTTCAGGGGTGCAGATAAAGGGTTTTTCCCCAGCCAGGGGCAGGCATTGAGCAGGGCAGAACCCGAACCCCTTTGGCTCCAGGAGCTGCCGGGAGAGCCGAGCAGAGCCCCCAGTGACAAGGACAGTGGCACCGGTCCCCGTCTCTCTCCACTGACTATAGAGGGAGCTGCGTGACCAGCTTAGAACTGAGAGCTCATTCCCTGGAGGTTGGACCAGGGGAGATGGATCCTCTCTGTTCCTGCTGCTGCATCCCGCTGGGAAGCTGGGGCACAGGAGGTGGTGGGGGAACACCCGCGGCAGACAGCACAGTCTGAGAATGGTGTCACTGCCACCAGAGGTGTCCCACTGCTGGTGTCCCGCTGTGGGACAGGGACACTGGTCTGTCCATGGTTCCAGTCATGGTCAGCATCCCTCCAGCCTTGGAGATGTCCCCTGTTCCCACAGTCCCCGATCCACACCTGGCCGGGGCAGACTGACGCTGAAGAATGCCAAATGCATTGGGATGGCCTGGCTGGATCCCACCAGGGCTCCAGGGCCAGCAGGGCCAGCAGTGGTGGCTCCTGCAGGGCTCTGTCCCTGGAGCCCTCTGTTCCTCACTGCAGGTCTCTGCTGGGACCAGCCCAGCTCTGCCCTTGGGGTCACCTCAGGAGGGGCTGAAGCGCGGCCTTGAGGGAGATGCTTCCCTTGAGAGCTGCCTCATTTTGATGCCCATCTCTTGTCCAGCTCAATCGTGGTTTTAAGGCAAACTCCAAGGCAATAATTCCCAGGGATTCACCCCAGGGAGTTGTCCTTAATGGTCAAATTTCCTTCTCTTCCTTTCTTCCTTTTGCTCCTCTTTGGATTCCAGCTGGAGCTACTGTTGAGGTGAGAGAGGAGCCAGCTTGTGGTGCTGGCAGGGCTTGGGTTGGGCTCTCATGTCAGAGCTTGGTCACCTCTGAGAAATCACATCCCTGGAGAAATTCCAAACTTCACAGGCATTGATCTGACAAGCACAGACTTTAATTTCTCCCCAGGACTGCAGAGATTCTCTTCCACTGCCACAAGAATGACTTTCTAGTTGCATTTCCATCCTGCATTTGTCAGTGGTTGTGCCCTTCCCCACAGCCCCATAATTCCTTATATCGATATTATTGCAAGCCCTGAGAGCTGATTTATGACTTCTGCATCTAAAACTTGTCATCACAACCCCCGGACACACACAGAACATCAGAGA